CTTGGGGTGCTGTGACTTTAAGTTAGTGATCCCAAGCAAACATTTCATTTCTATTCAAGAGCAGTTCTTTAAAGAATAGCTTCCCTTATGTACTTTCCTGCTAAGCGATGGCTCATTTTCAGCCTGACAAATCCAGATTTTATGTAAGATAAAGCCTTGACAATTCAGTTATGGAGATTTCTGTTTAATTAATTTTCTTATTAACTCATGATTAATTTGGCTAAAAGAAAATTTGGACTTCAAACCTTGGCATTGAAAATCACTGTAAATCGTCTGAATGCATTGGCTTGCTCTAAGCCCATTCTACTGAATAAACTGGGTTTGCTTTTTCATAGTGGAGGATCTTCGAACACTTGAGGGCTTTGTAGGTCAAAAAGTTGGTGCCAAGAGGAGACCTTCCCAAGCAAAGCTTCCACAATCCAGTATTTCATTATAAATCGGACCATTAGAGCCAAGAAGAAGTGACTCAAAGAGACCACATATCACAAAAGCCTGATGCAATTATTTACATAGCAATTTATTAATTTATGATCAAGATAGTGGTTTGAGACCAAATAATACCAATGTCCCCCATCCAAGAAAGCCACTCCCCTGTGCCAGAAGACAAATAATTCATCAGCCGGTAGCTTGGTGGCATGGAGTCAGTCTTGAGGACCACCTCACTAGGCCATGATGAGGTCTGACAGATCACTGCCACAGTGACCCAACTCATTGTACCCAATGTAGCATTTGCCAACCTCTGCATGTTTGAGCTTCTCTTTTCTAGGGACCCAAATGACCATGCCTCTGAAGGACCCATCATTTGTATCTGGTCCACACCATCTATAACTGGTCTACTTGATGAGAAATCTACTTAATCAGTTATAATCATAATGCCATCCTGCCTTCCTGAAGTCTCGCTGGGTCACCATGATGAAAATTTGTGTGATCCCCAATTGTTCAGATGTTCCTTCATGTCCTACCCCCCATGAGTAGCTAATCTCATCCTTCCTGTACAAGGTTGACTAGTTAACCCACAGAAACAGCCATATTTCCATAGTGGTCAAGGTCTTGCTAGATCTCATAGATACTATCAACTATTACCTGGAGGGGTACTCACTGGAACCATGAATTTATGATAGTGGCAAAAGAAAACATGGAGGGCTTAGAATGAATCAATACTGACCTCAACACATACTTAGGGAACAGATTCCTGCCATGGGTTTGACACATTGCTTTGTCTTTGAAAACTCAAGACAATGTTTTTGTTAATCCAGACATTCAGTGAAGATGGCAGATTGAGTTTTGAAGATGCTACTTCTATGAAGGACACACACAGTTTGATAGAATTCTACTATTTCTCTACGTCACCTTTTATACATTTGCCTCTCTGGCTCTTATGTGATTACATGAAGTATCTCTGCTCTTATTTTCTGCCTGTATCTGCTTCTGGCTGTGGCAATTTCTCCTGTCTCTATTTGTTATTCTTCTCTTTGTGCTTTAATGACTCTGATGGGCATCTGTCACAATCCCTCCCTTATTTTTTCCCTATCTCTAGTCTTTCTTTCTTCTTCTCTTCATCTATTTCCTCCTTTTCCTTGTTCCTTCCTTTGGATGTTTTTGTCTGTTTGGTGTTGTGTTTCTTCTTCTTCTTTTTTTTTTTTTTTAGATTTTATCTTTGTAATTTTTTTTAAAGATTTCATTTATTTGACAGAGAGAGAGAGATCACAAGTAGGCAGAGAGAGAGGAGGAAGCAGGCAGAGAGCCCGATGCAGGGCTTGATCCCAGGACCCTGAGATCATGACCCGAGCTGAAGGCAGAGGCTTTAACCCACTGAGCCACCCAGATGCCCCAAGATTTTATCTTTTTTTTTTTATTATTTTTTTAATTTATTTTTTTTTTAATTTTTCTTCTTTTTGTTTTTTATTTTTTGTTTCTTTATCAATCTCTTCTTACAAACCCTTGTGTCGAGGGCTGACTTTCAATAGATCGCAGCGAGGGAGCTGCTCTGCTACGTACGAAACCCCGACCCAGAAGCAGGTCGTCTACGAATGGTTTAGCACCAGGTTCCCCACGAACATGCGTTGCGTGACGGGCGAGGGGGCGGCCCCCTTTCCGGCCGCGCCCCATTTCCCGGGACGAGGGGCTCTCCGCACCGACCCCGGTCCCGACGCGCGGCGGGGCACGCCACGCCACGCGGGGCGCGCGCAGCGGCCCGCCGGTGGGGACGGCGGGGGACAAGATTTTATCTTTTTAATGTAATCTCTACACCCAACATGGGGCTCAAACTCACAACCCTGAGATCACACATGCTCTATCGACTGAGCCAGCCAGATGTCCTCTTCCTTTGGATGTTTATTTAATCAGTTGTCAACACCCCCCCCCCCAACTCTTCTTTCCCTCTCTGTGGTTCTCAGTCCCTTTGCCCATTCTTCCATCTCAGTTGACATCAGGGATGTCAATTCTGACTTTTCTTCATCTTCCTACCAGTCTCTGCCTATCAGTTCCTGTCAGGCTGTCTTTGTGTTTTGCACTGTAGCTGTTTGTCCTTTGTCTTTCTGCATGTCTCCAACTCAACATATTTCCTACTTTCTTTTTCTGCCAGTGAATCTTCCCTTTGAGTGCCTCCTCCACCTTCTGTTCTTCTGCTTCTCAGCTCCCCTAACTCCCCTCATCTCTATTTCCCCCTCTCTCTTGCTCTGCCAATCTTTCTAAATGCCTCTCTTACCTCCATCTCTCCTGAGTCTAGTTGTTCCTCTTTGTCACTCTGTTTCTTTGTCTAGACCATCTGTGCCTTGTATCCTTGGGGTCCCTTCCTGTCAGCTTTTTTTTTTCTATTTTTCTGTACTGATTATTCTATATTGAAAAATCTATATAGAATAAATATAATATATTCTATACTATATTTTTCTATACTGAAGACTATATACTGATGTTTATGGCCATTTTACCAGTTCCATGACTTCGGTTCCTGTTGGCATCCACAACACTTTCTTAACATTTCTGCCGAGGATTCCCTGTCTTGCCCTCTGTCTCTCTTCACATCTGTCTCTTCGATACAGGTGATCCTTCTCTTTCTTTCAATCCGTCCCTCAATCTATGTGTGTCTATTTCTAAAGATTTTTTTAAAATTTATTTATTTGAAAGACAGAGATCACAAGTAGGCAGAGAGAGAGGAAGGGAAGCAGGCTCACTGCTGAGCAGAGAGCCTGATGCGGGGCTGGATCCCAGGACCCTGGGATCATGATCTGAGCCAAAGGCAGAGGCTTTAACTCACTGAACCACCCGGGCACTCCTGTGTGTCTATTTCTATCATCCCTTTTGTCTTTCTCTAGCTCAGCTTTTGGCCAGGATTTTTTGTTTTCATCTTCCTGTCTCTTGCTTTTGCTCATGTATCTTTTCTGTGGACAATTAAGGGTTATCTCTTTCTATCTGTTGTTTAGTAGAATAGCAATCTGAATCTTCTTTACACTTCCTATAAACTGGCTGTTCTGCCTGAAGAAAGGAAAGATTTTGCGCCACAGTTAAAAAGAAAGAAAGAGGGGCGCCTGGGTGGCTCAGTGGGTTGAGGCCTCTGCCTTCAGCTCGGGTCATGGTCCCGGGGTCCTGGGATCAGGCCCTGTATCGGGCTCTCTGCTCGGCGGGGAGCCTGCTTCCCTTCCTCTCTCTCTGCCTGCTTGCGATCTCTGTCAAGTGAATAAATAAAATCTTTAAAAGAAAAAAAAAATAAAGAAAAGAAGAAAGACAGACAGACAGCAGAAGTGGTAGGGGAGAGGGGCACCTGGGTGACTCAGTCAGTTAAGCGTCAGACTCTTGATTTTGGCTCACGTCATGATCTCAGGGTAGTGAGATCCAGCCTGGCATTGGCTGTGGAGCTTACTTAAAAATAAAATTAAAGGGGTGCCTGGTGGCTCACTTATTAAGCATCTGCCTTCAGCTCAGGTCATGATCCCAGGGTCCTGGGGTTGAGCCCCGCATCAGGCTCCCTGCTCAGCGGGAAGCCTGCTTCTCACTCTTCCACTCCCCCAGTTTGTGCTCCCTCTCTTACTATGTCTCTGTCAAATAAATAAAAATAAAATCTTAAAAAAAATTAAATTTAATTAAAAAAAATTTTTTTCCCTGTCTCTTAAGTGAGATAAGAGAATAAGAACTGGGTGGTAATAAATTACCCTAGGGGCATCAGGGTGGCTCAGTCAGTTAAGAAGCCGACTCTTAGGTTTGTGAAATGGAGCGTGCTTAAGATTCTCTCATCCCCCTCTTAAAAAAAAAATAAAAAAAAAAAAACAAATGGCAGTGGAGAAAAGAGAGCGAGAGCTTGCAAATGAATCCTAGAAGAGAGTTAGATATTCCTTAATCCCTCTGCAGCCAAGTGAAAGCCTCCCTTCGTCCACTTCTGCCTGTCTTCATTCTTCCATGAAGGCCTGGGCCTTGGAAAACGCTACACTTGGCACCCAGAATGGGTGTTTGAGTCCCTGCAATGGCTCTGGACTTCAGTACTTTCGTAAGAAGACAGACCTAGTCCCATGCTCATTCCCTTAAGAAGCTGCATTTTCTTTGAAGAGGTCAGAAGATAGTAAGAAAATTTAAAAGGCAGATGCTGGGCTTTTTAAAAATTTAAAAGGCAGTAGGACTCGCGTTAAGTACAAACACGGTAGTGTGACTTCAAGAACCAGAAGTATCAGCAGCGACTGTAGTGGATCAGTTCTTCTGTTTCTTGGCCACTAGTATGTCCATCCCTACTGGCTACAGATAGCACCTGTTGTGGCCTCCTCTGCCGCCTGGAATTTGGTCACAGGTGAGGTCTCTCTTCCCTCTGAACCCACCCCCTCCACATCAGATCTCTCTGGTCCTAATAAGACCTCACCTTTGGGGGCGCCTGGGTGGCTCAGTTGGTTCAGCGTCTGCCTTCAGCTGGGGTTGTGATCCAGGGATTGGGCCCCCTGTTGGGCTGCTCTCCCTCTGCCTACCACTCCCCCTGCTTGTGCTCTCTCTCTCTGTGCCAAGTAAATAAATAAAATTCTTAAAAAAAAAAAAAAAAAAAAAAAGACCTCGCCTTCCTTCACCTGTTCCTGTGCTAAAAGCGGAGGATGTCATTGGCAGTTTCACTTAGCTTCATGCCTCCTTCTTCCCCTTATTGGCAGCACTGGCTGTACCTCCAGAAGTTTGCTAGAAGAAGCAGTCATCTGATGATGGAATTCACTGAACAATAGCCCAGTTTCCCACTCATCCAAGAACATCAGCATTTCTTCTCAGATCCTAGGAATGGGGGAGGGGTGTGAGTTACTTGGAAGAGGGACTGAGATACTGAAAATTCAGCCCAGTCCTTACCCCACAATGGACTGGACACTGTAGACCACGATCTCCCCATCCTGGCCCTACCTGCCCCAGGCCTGGCAGAAGAGGAGCCTGAGGCCTCTTTCTAGTCTTTCAGGAGGAGAGTGGCATCGTCCCTGGCGACAAGCTCACCATCACGACACCTCCTTGTGCCCCCAGTTTCCTTGTGCCCTGGGATGGGTGGGCGGGGCCGAGCCCACAGGACATCATTGACCAAAATACGTACGCCCAGTGTGATGCTTATGGCACCCACAGTGACCAGCCCAGTTCCACTAAGGATGACCAGAGGGGGAGGAACCTGGTGTTGCTGCCAGATTAGCCACAGACTCATCCAGCCCAGAGGCACTAGGCGGAAGAGGGCCAGGGTGGCCAGGGTGGCCCAGCTGGCCACGCTGAAGGCCAGGGATGGGGCCTGGTGAGAAAGCAGCAGCAGTTTCCGTAGGTGCAGGCAGACAGAGTTCAGCTCCAGGAGCAGAGACACCACACAGAGGCCCACGTACTGGTTGGACAGAATGGCAGTGCTGAGGCAGCTCACAACCTGGGGAACAGGGGTCAGAGGTCAGAGGACCTTCCATGATCTTTTGCCCACCACGTACCAACAAACCAGGCCTTATTAAGACAGGGGCTCACAAGGATTTTGTGGCACCCTATCAAGAACCTGCCCTTTATAGTTGCCCTTATGTTGGGGCCTGAATGGCCTTAAAATAACCCTTCCATAGAATCGAAGCAGCCTTGGCCCTGAGGCTATCTCCCCTGGGGCAGCAGCAGTAACCACCCCCCCCACAACTTCCAATCCTGAGCTTTCATGCCCCATGCCCTCTTCCTATACTGGGACTCCCCTTTGTCAGAAAAGCTCCAGACGCAACATTTCTGCAATCAGATGGGACACTAGAGGGAATAGAAGCTACTTAGGCAGTGCTCAGACTCCAGCTGAGGCTAGAACTCAAACCTCTCCCCTGCAGACCAGCCCAAAGTTGGGGAGATCAAGCACCAACAACGGTCAGAGACTCTAAGAAGTCATTGGACAGAAACCTGAAGAGAAACGGGGGACCCCAGACTGAGCATACCACCCTTCCTGTGTCTCCTTTCCCTAAGTCTCACCACTGAATGATGACAGAGAAGTTCCCAGGCCTGGCCCAAGGTCTGATTCAACAGCATATCAACTCCATCCGCCAAGAAATAACCTGTGGGCGTGGCATGAGGGGGGAGGGGCGTTAGGGTTCCCTAAGTAGTTGTATCTCCTGGAGAGAAATCTTCACCCCCTCCTTTTGCCAGGTCTTTCGTTTCCTTCAGCAAAGTTGCCAGAAATATTTGACCTCTATGGAAAGGGGGAAAGGGGACCTGAAATTATCATTGGTAGGTTGCTCCCCGACAAAATGGCCCAGCCTTCCCTGCAGACTCACCCACGGACACAGCCACCAGCACCAGGGCCCAGGATGGGTGGCCGTTAATGGGGTCAGCAGCCATCTGAGGGTACAGCGACAACCTGTAGGAGGTGGGGGACCGTGGTCAGCATCATGCAGACTCAGACCCCATTCGCCCTCTGTGCACGCTCACTCACCCATTCACACCCCCATGCCATGTCAGACTCTCGAGGTTCCGGTTCGATTTCGAAGGTGCCCGCCGGGTCTTTCAATCTCAGCTTTCCACCCCTCACCCTCACCTCGGTGCCTCCCGAATCTCTATACCCCGCACCCAAGCAGCGCGCAGACCCCCGTGAGCAGGCTGTGCACCAGGGAGACACAGATGTTCCGCCACTTCCAACTGTCCTGGGCAGCAGATCCTGGCGTGGGCAGCAGCTGAAGCGTCCAATGCAGCCCCCGGAAGACCGCGAAGGAGGCGCCGGTCACAAGGAGCCCCCAGGACGCCATGGCCTGGCGGGCGGGCTAGGTCCGGTTCAGTCCCTTGGATCCCCGCACTCTCAGCCGGGACTCCTCCAAAGCCAGCTGCGGGGACTGTGAGCTGGCTTCCGGACAAGATGGGTCTTTGGCCTTCCCAGCCCACCGCGGCTTTGGAATCCTCTGTAACTTTTCCAGGGCTTGACCACGCCCCCATCATTCGGCTAGGTGGCGATTGGAGCAGCCGTGGGGCCACGCCCCGGAGCCACAGCCACCGATCGCGTCCCGCCCTAGCGGGGGATGGAGGGTTGGGGGCTCCCGGCTGCCAAGCCTGGCCTGGGAGCTCCGGGGGACTCTCATCATGTCGATAGAGATCTTCCCTAACGCCCTGTGTCCCAAACCCCTCCAAGCTCCAGAAATAGGTCGCTAATCTCACCTGACATTCCCACAGGCCCCGCCCCGTTGTCTTTCACCTCCTCTCCCCACGCTAACCTCTCACCTGCTGGTCCTTCTTCCCACGGGATCCTCACCGACCTTAAGGTAGAGGCCAGCGCACACCCACTCCCAATGCTTAAACATCGCCACCGCCCTGCTCCGCACCAACCCCCTTCTCAGCTGTGGGGGCACCTCACTTCCTCGGAGCCACCCTTTCCACCTCCCGAGGTTTCCAGACCTTTAGCACATCTTAACAACCCGATGATTCCAACAGTCCCGTTCCCTTACACAGTACGTTCGAACGGAACAAGAGCTCCCATTTTGGAGAAGCGACCCACTGGAACTCCTCCCCCCAACCACTTTTGGGGGCCCTAGAGGGTAAACTTGCTATTAGGAAGGGGAGGCGAAAGGAAACCACTCAGCACCGAAGTCTTGAAAAGCACCCCTCCCCCCAGGGCTTGGTAGGTGAATGGAATTCTCTCTTCCAATCTGAGGTGGCAAGGAGAGGTCACGCAGGGTCACCTCAAGGTTGGGGCAGAATCAGAGAATAACAAAGACTTATAGGATTCCAAAACCTTTCAGCCTGGAGAGGAAAATCTACCCTTCCCCCCTTCCCCATCTTCCATCTCCTGGAGAGTGACAGGTTTTCACTGTTTTCCTTACTCCACTCCACACCTCTTTAGCTGGCTGAGAGCCAGCAATTCAGAGAGCTGTTTCCCGCACGTGGAGAGGGTAGATTGCAGCTACTCCTGGAGAATGAAGTTCTCCACATTCTCACAACCCTCTTTCTCCACCAAAATCCCATTATGTCCAAAGGGCCAGGGGCACCCCTTAATTCCTCCCCACCCACCTCTCCAAGCTTTTAAAAAAAAATTACACTGATTCTTTTAAAATTTATTGTATGAAAATCATACTCAATATAGAATAAAGTTACAGAAAAGCCAAAGAGGAAAATTACAATGGCTTTGTTCCACTGTCCAAAGATAACCACTATTATTAACATTTTGTCTTTTTCGTGTTTTATGTATACAAGAATATATCCACCTTTAGAAAACAAAATTGAGATCACATAATACACACTATTTTTATAACATTTTTAATATTCAAAGAGCATTTTTCTTTCCAAATGTTCTTCTACATGACTTTTAATGGCTGTGCAGTACTCCACCATCTGGATGGATATACAATGATTTACTTAAGGAATCCCCCATTGCAAATTTTTATTACAGCAGAAAAGAAATGAATTCCCAATCAGACAGTTGCTTCTCATTTTCTCTACTGCAATACTCGGATGAGCATCTTGTGACTAAATCTTTCATTATTTTCTTAGGATAAATTCCCAAATGTACAATTACTAGGTCTAAGGCGATGGAAACTTTTAGAGTATTTGAGACCTATCACCAACGGTCAGGAAGGCTGTACCAATTGGCCCCCGCTACAGGCAATGTATGGGAGTGTTATTTTCTTATTTCTTTGCCAACGCTGGTTCTTTTTTTTTTTTTTTTAATATAGTTTGCTGAGGGAAAAATGCTTTCGGCTATATTTGTCTTTCTTTAATTACTAATGAAACACATTGTTTTTCATGGTTTTATCCATTTGAATTTCTTCTCTGAATTTCCTACTTATGTCCTTTCACAGCTGGTTCTTGCTCCTTGAGTCCACTTTATATAAAAATTAAAAGGTAAGGAGGTAGAAGTAGGAGAATGAAGCCACAGGACACTGTGATACAGTCTCCTATCTCTGAGGGAGGCAGTAAGTACAATGGAGAGAAATAGTGAATGAGGCAGATGGCTGGGAGCTTATCCTTGAAGGAGGCTGGCTGTCCTTCCTCCTCCTAGGGTGTTTCTGCCCTTTATGGGTCCCCTCTGAGGGGTGCCCAGACAGGGCCCTGTGCTCTCTAGGCCTGGTCCTTCACTGGTCTTCTGCCTACCTCTGTGTTCCCAGGCTGTTCTTCCTCATCTTTACTTCACGATGGGTCAGGATGGGTAAGGATGGCAGAGCCCTAGAACCAGGGCTGGACAGAGACACTGTGGCCAGTGAGGCGGGGAGGGGAAGAAAGGATGGAAGCAATGTCCAGGGACAGAGCAATCTTTGTTGCAGACTCTGAATTGACTCAGTCTACCCACACCCGCCACTGCAGTCCCACATACACCTCCTGCAGCTTAGGCTGCAGGAGGGTGGATTCGATGATCTACTCTCCCCTAAATCTGTTTCTCATTAATGGAGACTAGGACCCTGCTATCTCCACACCTCCTGCCCCATGACAGGACAGCTCCCTCTAGCCGCTGAATTTGGCCACCTTCAGGTAGGGCATCTGGGCCATGGTTGAACCACGCCGGAACTGAGCCCCAAGAGTTAGACTGCATCAGGAGCTGGGGTGAGGGTGGTAGGCTTATACTGCTTGATGTTCCAAAGGGCATCACATCCCACAGTTCACCTCTCCTGGTTGTTGGAGGGAATTTCCTGCCTGCACAAGCCTGAGCAGTCTCACAAACTATCCTGGAAGGTAAAGTGAGGAAGAAACAGAACAGCAGTTGGAACCCTATCAGGGGCTGCAGTCCTGTTTTGGGTGGCAGAGGAAGCCTGGGGCCACCTTTGCATGGTGGGATGTCAATGGAAAGAATGAGCTCCTCCTGGTCCCCTGCACTGGTATAACCCTACACCCCCTTTCTAATCCTCTCCCCCACCCTCCTTGGGTCATGGTGTTCAGGGAAGGGGGGAGGGGCAATAGCTTATGTGGAAAGCTGTTCTGTTCCCACCCACAGGGAGAGAAGAGCCCAGGCTCTGAGCAGTTCACAGAAGTAGGCTTCTGATTCCCTCCTGCACACTCAATTGTGTGATTCCCCATCTCACAGGTGGAGAAGCCGAGACAAGAGGTCTAACAAGTCCCACATATAGGTGATTATCACCAAATCTAGAGTCTGGGCCAGTCTAAGGAAATAGACGGAAAGGTAAGAGCATGGGGATGACTACTCACATGGGAGTTTCAGTATGACCTCTTCCCTGAAGAAATTTACTTTGGACCTCACCTGGAAAGGCAGTAGGAAAGAAAGGGAAACAAGGAAGGAGGGCCAAGAAAGACATCTGGGTAAAGGGGTAGGCAATTTTCTTTGCTCCTGTTATCTTCCTCTTGTCACAGCAGTGTAGACCAACTAACCTTGCTTGGTCACAGCCATCTATTCCCCAAACCAACCAGGGTCTCTAATCTAAAATTGTTGTCTCTTGCTGGGCCAGTCTGGCTGAAGGCTCTCTAACTGACCAGGTTCCCTCTCCCAAAAGGTATCATCACTCCCACTGTTCGGACCTTCCCAGCCCCAGCTCTGTCACCTTCCAGATGAAGGGGAAAGCAGCTCCTTCTCTTCTTCCTCCTCCTCCTTGAAGCCAGTGGCAGAGGGCAACAGTTCTTCAACTGGCAGCTTTAGCTGGGTCAGGACATAAAGCTTGCCACTGAAGAACTACTGCGGCTCAGCCAAGTGAGGATGTGGGAGGGACAGGCTCCTAAAAGGAAAAGGAAGACAAAATGGGAAGGATCTGAACAGGGCCATGTCACAGGGACACTGTCCCACTGGCGAACAAAAGTCCAGCTCCAACAGATGCTCAACCTTGTAACAAAGTGTTCTTGGCTCTGACCTGGGCCTGCAGGAGCGGTATATATCTTACTTCAGTAAGAAGCAAGAGGCAGTTCTAAACATACTTCCTTGTGCCTCTTTGCAGAACCAAAGGCTGTAGAGACCCAGGTCTGCTCTCACCCCTCCTTGCCCCATCTATTCATGGAGGGCCCAGCCTCTTCAGCATTCAGAGAGGGCTGGACTTAAAACCCGGGACACATTGCACCGGTTGCCCAGGTACTAGGTGAGAAGTTGGACCTTAGGTCCAGAAATGTCAGTTCAGTGATCAGCCCAACTGACTTGTTCCCAGGGAGTTCAGCTGGAAGAGTTCTGGGGGCCCACATCTGGGGAAGAGTGAGGAAGGGAGGTCCAGAGTTTGGAAGGTCAGCAGAGGCTCCAGGGACTGCGAGGAGAGGACAGGGGACCAAAGGCTGGAGGGGAGGGAGGTATGGGTAGGGTGGATGGGCAGCTTCCCCAAGACTCTTAAATGCCAGGCATTCCGCTTGCGCATTCCGGGTACATCTGGTATGAATTCCAGGCTGTCTGCCGGCCCCTCCATGTCTGAACTTTGTTCCAAGTTCCAAGCCCCGCCCCCACAGTTCCAACGCATGAATCAGCAGGAAAAGCCGGGCCCTGCAGCATGGCCCAGGGAGGGGGCTGGGGGCGTGGCAGGCTTGAGGGCCTAGAGCTGGGGAGGCCGGGTCTGTGCTGACACTCAGTCCAAGGGCATGGCCCATGCCAGTGTCAGGAGCCAAGGCAGTCTTGCCTTGAGACTTCTATACTCAGAGGGTAAGAAAGATTAGAGTGGGGGGTGGGAGGTTTTCAAATTACAAAAACCCTCTTGGGGAGGCATGAACTTTGTGGTATCTTCCTTCCCCCAGGTGACCAGTCCAACTCCTTCCCACTCTCCTCTGTCTGAGCCAGCTCTGTTCAGCCCATAGGACTCAAGGGCTGCTTAGAGTCTGTGCCAAGCAGGTGCCCTTGGCTGCAGGGTGGGGTGGGCCCAGGTCACTGACCCTCTGACCAGCTGCTCCATCAACCCTTTGGCACCCTGACAATCCCTAGCCCAGTCTGACAGCCAAGATGACAGGCCAAAGGAGTTGGAGAACTAGGGCCGGAGGGAGGTGGGGGCGATAGCCTAGCGAGAGGCCATAGGGAGGGGCCAAGAGTTGGCCGAGAGGTGGGGAGAGAGGGAGCCCAGTGATGACTAACCCAGGCGCCCCACCCAGCCAGCCGGCTTCCCAGGCGGTCAGGGCCAGGCCTGGGCTAGGGGCCCCACAACCGGACATGCTGGGGGGAGGTGCAGAGGTGACCTTCTCTGGGCCCAAGACGGCCAGTTAGGCTGGGGAGGGGGGGGGGGTTAGAGTTTCCAGGTCCTCCTCCAGCCCGCTTCCCCCACCAACCGCGGTGAAACCCTAACCTTTGGGTTGCATAAGGCCCCCGCACCGCCGCCCCCTACTCCTCTCCCCTCCCCCCTTACATAACATCCCCTGGAGGGAACGAGAGGAGGGGCCGGCCCGCCCAGAGACCCCTTCCCTGCCAGGGCGCTCAATTGGCCCTGACCAACTGACTGCCTGCAGAGGAAAACTACCTCTCCGCTACCCCCCAGGTCCAAACCCTCCCCAAGCTGGGAGGCCAGTTCTCATATCCTCTGACCAGGGGGCGCCGAGGTTAGCTGCCCCCAGCCCCCTAGCCCCTCGTCTTCTTTTTAGCCACTCTGCAAAACCCTCCGCCACGACTGTCGTCCCGGACTCTTTCTTTAAGCCTCCTGCCAAACTACTCCAGCCAGTCCAGGACCCCTCACCCCCAGAGCTTCCCTGCCCCCGCCGCCCCCTCACCCCTCCCCCGGAAGGGCAGGGTGTGGCCACCAGGACCCTACTTTCCCCTATTACCCCGTTAGCATGGTTCCCTCCAGTGCGGCCGGGACCCCAGGTCACACCCACCTGGTGCTGGGTGGGGGGGTTGCTGAGGGTAAGGGAGCAAATCAGTGCGTCCGTTCCCCACGGCCCGCGGCGCTGTGTCTTCCCTGCGCCCAGCACACACCGGCTCCAGTCTCCGATCAGCTGGCGGCGTCGTGACGCACAAGCTGCGATTGCACCGCCCAGGGCCAATCACCGCCCACTGCTGGGCAGCGTGACCACACCCACTCGGGGGCGCCAGCACTGCGTCCAGGTCCCGCCTCTCCCGGCGTCTTAGCTCTGATTGGCAAGGAGGCCACCCCTTCGCCTGGTGGAGCTGCGATAGACCACGCCCACCAACTCAGGAGCTCGCCAATACATGAAAGGGTGTGGCTGAGGCCTCCGCCTAAGGCCGCTAGCTTTGAGGAGCGCTACGTCAAACCAGAGTCCTAAAGAGCAGAAGGAAGTAAAGGCATGTGTGTTTGCGGTGCACACTGGTCAATGTAGTTCTCGTCTGACACCTCGTTCCCACAATCCAGCGCGCTCTGTGAGTTGGCATTTTTAAACTCATTTCTGAATCCATCCCGGCGAAGTCCTTAAAGGGCTACAGCCACCCCTCTGGGGAGCCGTGAGTGTTTCTTTTAGACTACCCCAAAACGGATTCGCTGACTTCTGCGCATGAGGCGATAGCTCCCTAGGGAAAGATGGAGCAGGCAAAGCAGCAGGAGTGGGTAGAACTGAAGATGGAAATCAGCCTCCGCTTAGCAGGCTCTTCCATTGCATGAGGACTCCTGAGGGCTTTTGGGGAAGGAAAACTGCCCACCTCGCCTAGTGCTAGCTTTCACTGGAAAGAGCTAGTCCTCCCCTTGTGGCGGGCTCTTACTAACCAGGAGACTTTTCTTGCAGAGTATGTCTCATCCCAATCGTAGTCAGAGCCTCTCAAGCAGCAGACTCCTAACAAAAGATTCATAGTACAGTCTTCACCTGAGGGTAGAAGCAAGACTTGTGGTCGGAAACTAGGGGATGGGTCGTGCCAAAGTATCAACTGGTAAGCAACCCCATCCTCCGCCTAATACCCCATTCTGTCCCGCCCTCGAGAAGCCTTTCACTGACTCAGACCTACTTAGAAGGGATTTCAAAGGTAGAGACCAATGAGGAGTCTGGCCCTTCCCCAGGGGCCAATCAGAGCTGAGGCGGGGGCGGGGAATGGGCAAAACCAAGAGGAACCCAATGACTTGGCAAAAGCTGCTGAACCGCTTATTTAAAGGGGCAAGTCGGGGACTCGCGGCAATTTATCACCCACCCGCTTCCCCACCCCCCCGCCCCGCCCCCGCCTCCAAAGACGAACGTGTCGACAAGAATCCATGACTTTTCCATAGCCTCCAAATTGAGTGTGAGGGTAACTGAGCCCAAGGATGAATCTCGGGTGTGAGATAGTTTCTCTGTACTAAACACCGGCTCCACCAAGTAATTGCTGTGGTTCCTAGGAGCTCCAGAATTCTTGACTCTGCGTTCAGAACAGTGTGCCTTTAAGGAAACTTCCTGCCTTCCACCCCAGTAACAGCTGATTGTTGGAAAGTGTGACCTCAGGGGACGAATCAGCTGTTACCACATCCTCCTCCATCCTCTTATCCCCCCACCCACCCCCGCGCCTCCGCCCCAACCCTCTCTGGTCCTGAGGGAAGAAAGGAGATGGAACTCCAAATATGGGGGACCTGCTTGTATGTTCTTTACTCTTTCACTCCAAGACCGTCTCCCTCCCTCCCAACGTCCCCACCCCCACCGTCTGCAGGTTAGTGCTTCAGAGGTTCTGAGCTTGGAACGAGAAGTATTTCCTGTTTGCACAGTCAGCTCAGACCCGCCTTCCCAGGTCTAGAAGGAGGCCAGTATAAGGGAAGCCCAGAATGGTGGCTGGCTGGATGTGTGGGTGCCCCAGGAATGGGTGTTGGGGAAGGTCCAGTGAAGCAGCAAACCAAACCTAGAGGAGAGGAATGGCTGTGGAAAGCAAGCCTCCTGGGGTCAGAACCCTGCTCCCCAGGCCATGTGCCCCTACTCCCTACTCAAGTTGCCCTGTTCCTTCCCAGACAGGGACCCCCTAAGGGGACTCTATTGACTTTGCCTATTCAGTCCACTTCTAACCTAGGTGCTACCTGACCCTTGTTTTATTTACACTCTCACCCTCCACAGCAAGGGTGCTAATGTGGGCTGCAGGTGGAAGGCATCGATTCTAGGAACTAGGGGCTTTGGGAAGTCCTCCAAGAAGGCCCAGGTGAATATTTTACCTCAGCCCTGAGCTAGGAGTCAGGGTTATTCCAGGACAAACTTAGTGTGAAGTCCTAGGACTGACTTGGCAAGGCTGGGAGAAACTGAGCAGGGCCTTGGCCAAGCTTGGAAGAATGAGAAACCTCACCAGCTGCCCCCATTATCCACTATCCTTATCTTGGAAGTCCCGTTCTCTTCCTTCCCAAGGCCTTTGAGGTAGGCCCATCTCCACTTTGTTCTACTAACTCTCTCTCCCCTCACCCTCCCACCCCATAGGGCAAAAGAAAATGCTTTCAGTCCAGGTTTTCTCCACCTCAGCACTATTGACATTTTGGGCTAGATAATTTCTTGTTGTGGGGACTGTCATTTGTAGCATACTTAGCAGCATCCCTGACCCACTAGATGAAATTAGCAACACCCCTACCCTGCAGTTCGGACAACCACAGGTGTCTCTGGACATTACCAGATATCCCCTGGTGGCCTCAATCTCCCCCAGTTGAGAATTACTGAATTAGACAATTCATTCTAATTCCAGCCCTTACCAGCTCTGAACTTGATGAAGATATTTAACATCTCTGCACCTCAATTTCCTCATCGGCAAGAGAGTGAATAATAAATTCACGGTTTATTGTAGGGATTAAAAAGGATTTTATTTGAAAACACCTAGCACAGTATCTGGCCCACAGTTGCTGCACTAAATGTTAGCTTCCTTCACTTTTCTCCCTGCCAGATCAGCAAGAACTAACCTCACTCAGCATGGGCTAACTGCCTGGGCAGCTGCAGCTTCCCTCCCCAACTATCCAAGCCATGACCTCCAGGAAACTCAATATTGAAGTTGGCAAAAGGGAGTAGCTAATTTGGTCCCAGATTCCCCAAAGCCCAAGGGTGCTTGGGTTGGGATTCCAGGGAGCTGTTACAGTTTTACAATTGAGCTGTTACAGATCATTACATTGAGATGTGGCCTGCAGACGACCTGCATTAGAATGAACTGGGGTGCTTCTTAAAAATTCAGATTCCTGGGTCTCACCCCAGACTACCGAATCTGAAGTGCATCATCAAGTTTGAAAACCACTGTTTTAGACCTCCGATTGGGGAAGGTGTCAGTGCCCCCAGAAATCTTAGTGCACCAGTGCCCAGCATTGTAAGGGCATCCTATTCAAGAAAAGAATCCTTAGGTTAGTTACACTCAAGGTCATTGTTGATTGCAAGCGAAACCACTAGAGGGCAGAGCACACACCGATTTGCGGGAAGAAAAAGCGCCTGCTCAGTCTAGGTAAACCGACCAGAGCAAAGACCTGGTGGACCCAATTTCATAGGTTCTTAGCAGCAGGCACTATCTTTTATCAAAACCCGTTCTCTGCCTTCAGGTACTCAAACCAAATTTGGGGGTGTACATCGTGGTGAAAAAATAATACTGTATGGCCAAGGAGTGCAGTGAGCATTGGTTTTAGAATGAGATAGTCTGGGTTTGAATCTTGGCTCTACCACTTCTTTCCTAGGTGACCTTGGGCAAGTTACCTAAGGTAGTTAGTTACCTAAGGGCAAGTTACCTCCTCATCCTAAATGGTTATAAAAATATCTTTTTAAAAGGGTTGTGGTGAGGATTAAACAAAACAAGATATGCAAAGTGCTTAGCAGGGTGCCTGGCTCCTGATCAGTGCTCCAGGAATGATGGTTGTTAAGTTTTTACTGCTCCAGGTCATGTGACCAAGCACAGCAGGGCTTCCGCTGCTTCAAGAAAGAGGATGCAGATGGAATCAGATCACTGCTGATCCATTTGTTTCCTCTGTAATTGGGACTTTAGTTTTTCTTAAGCATCTTTATGGATCCCCCAAACCTCTACACCAAACTCCTCCATGAGGCAAAATCTCCTTCTAGAGGAGACTAAAAAAAAAAAAAAAAAAAAAACCAGCCAGTGGTTTTATTGCAATGGCCTATCTGTCCTGCAAATGAGTCAGAACTGAGACCTCTAGAAGTCGTCTAGTTTTGGTGCCAGTTCTCTGCTTTCTGCTCCTTGTCCTATGCTGCACCCCCCTTTTCATCCCCCACCCCCCAGCCAAGGTAGCAACTGTAAGGCTCTGACCATAGCAGCAGGCGCTGGCACCTCAGAGGCGGATCTTCAACGGGAAGTCTTGGGGGAACATTTCCTCCCAAGAACCACAAGCATCTGGGCCTGGGACACTTCTCTCCCTCTCAGATCGCCCAGAATTTGAAAGAAAGAGAGAGAGCCCCAAGAGGGCTGGGGCACGGGGTAGGGGTGCGGAGGGAGGACTCCAGGGCAGAAAATTTGTGAACCAGGTTCCAAGTTTCCATTCTGCCACTTGGGCAAGTCTCTTTGGTGGCGCTTGGTTACCTATTGTAAAGTATAAACAATATTACTATCTTTTCTACTTCAGGGGTTGTTGTAAAGACCAGATGTAATGTTATTGAAGTAATGTGTTGGAAAACTAAAAGCTGGTTCACTTGGTAGGTAGCATGGAGGCGCTGAAGGGACTTAATGCCAAAAGCCCCAGCTCAGCCTGCGGTTCCTTATCTGTAAAACCAGAGGAGCGCGTGGGATCAGCCCGCTAAAGGCTGGAATCTCCGGGAAAATCGTCCTTAAATCCGCGTTCTGGTGCATGCAGGAGGAAGCAGGGAAGGGAGGGGAAATCTCGTGGGCCGTTCAGCACCCCCCTCCTCTGTACTCCCAGGAAACGAAGCCGCCACCTGACCAGAGCAGAGCGCGGAGAGGGAGGGCGCCGCGGCCTGCCAGGCGGGGGCGCCGGCGGGAGGCGCGGTCCGGCCGGCCTCTCCGAGCCACGTGCGGTTGTTTCCGTGCGGGGGCGATCACGTGATCCCCGTCAGCTGACCGGTCACGGCAGAGCCAGACTCAGGCGCCCCGCAGCCCCTGCCAGGCTGCGCCCGGAGCGCAGGACTTTGCAGAGGGGTAAGAGCGTCCCCGGCCTCCCCTCCTCTGTTCCCGGCCCACCCCCCGCCGCCTTGGTCTCATCCCGGGTCCCTCGCCCATCCCTCCCCGCCCGGCCTGGCACCCCGGAAGACGTCGCGGGCAGGGCCGTGGCCGGGCTCAGCCCCGCGCTGCCCCCAGGCGGCCGGGAGGGGATGGCTCTGGGGAGCAAGGGGCGGGAAGTCCCTCTTACCCACGGGGCGCAAGGCTGGTCCCCGCCCCCAAGCCCGGACATGGAGGAGCTGCTCCAGAGCGTGGAGAGGGACCTGAATATCGATGTCCGGCAGCTGGCTCCGGCCCCGGGGGGCACCCACGTGGTGGCCCTAGTGCCCGCGCGCTGGCTGGCCAGCCTCCGCGAGCGCCGGCTGCCCCCCGGACCCTGTCCCCGGGTAGAGGGCCTGAGCGAGGCGGAAGTGAGGACTCTCCTGCAACGCTCCGTGCAGAAGCTGCCCCACGGCTGGACGCGCGTGGAGGTGCACGGGCTGCGGAAACGGAGGCTGTCCTACCTCCTGGGCGGCGGCTTGCCCTCAGAGGAGGGCTCCAGCAGTCCCGAGACCCTCACTCGTTTCATGCAAGATGTGGCTGCCCAGAATTATCACAACCTGTGGCGCCATGCTTATCGCACTTATGGGCAGCCTTACAGTCACAGCCCTGCCCCTTCAGCTGTCCGCGCATTGGACTTAGTCCGACAGGCTCTGCAGAGGGTCTATGGTTGTTCCTTCCTGTCCGTGGGTGAGTTTACCCAGGGCCAGTCATCTGCAAGAGAGGGTGCCTGTCCCCCTCGGGGCAACCTGGCCTGTCCCAGTCTTCTGCGAGCTGAGGCTCTGCTGGAGTCTCCAGAGATGCTGTACGTGGTACACCCATACGTGCAGTTCTCCCTGCACGATGTTGTCACCTTCAGCCCTGCCAAGCTGACCAACAGCCAAGCCAAGGTGCTTTTCATTCTCTTCCGTGTGCTGAGGGCCATGGATGCCTGTCACCGCCAGGGACTGGCCTGCGGGGCCCTAACTTTGCACCACATCGCCGTAGATGAAAAGCTTTGCAGCGAGCTCCGGCTGGACCTGAGTGCTTACGAGAGGCCTCAGGAGGATGAGAATGAAAAGAGCCCCGAGGCAACGAACAGGCTAGGCGTCAGACCTGGAGACGAGGGAGGAGAGGGACCCAGGTGTCCCACCTGCCGGGAGGAACTTCGGGGTCTTGTGCTAGATTGGGTCCATGGCCGCATCAGCAACTTCCACTACCTCATGCAGCTAAACAGGTTGGCGGGTCGACGGCAGGGCGATCCCAACTACCACCCTGTGCTGCCCTGGGTGGTGGACTTCACCACCCCCCACGGGCGCTTTCGAGACCTCCGCAAGTCCAAGTTCCGCCTCAACAAGGGGGACAAGCAGCTGGACTTCACATACGAGATGACGAGGCAGGCATTTGTAGCTGGTGGTGCGGGGGGCGGGGAGCCACCTCACGTTCCTCACCACATCTCAGACGTGCTCTCCGACATCACATATTATGTGTACAAGGCTCGGCGGACTCCCCGCTCCGTGCTCTGTGGACACGTGCGGGCACAGTGGGAGCCCCACGAGTATCCTGCCAGCATGGAACGCATGCAGAGCTGGACACCTGATGAGTGCATCCCTGAGTTCTACGCCGATCCCTCGATCTTCTCCTCCATCCACCCAGACATGCCTGACCTGGATGTGCCCGCCTGGTGCGGCTCCAGCCGCGAGTTCGTGTCCGCCCACCGGGCCCTGTTGGAGAGCCGAGAGGTGTCCCAGGACCTGCACCATTGGATCGACCTCACCTTTGGCTACAAACTGCAGGGCAAGGAAGCTGTGAAGGAGAAGAACGTGTGTCTGCACCTGGTGGATGCCCACACCCACCTGACAAGCTATGGCGTCGTACAGCTCTTCGATCAGCCGCACCCCCAGCGCCTGGCCGGGGCTCCTGCCCTGGCCCCTGAGCCCCCACTCATTCCCAGAATGTTATTTCAGACCATCCAGGAGAGCACCGGCCGGGAGGACTTACCAGGACAGCTTACGAATGGGGCAGGCAGGCTGGTTTTGGAGGGCACTCCCTGCGAGGCTGGCTGGGCCAGAGACAGGCCCGGGGCAGGGGAAGATGACTTGGAACAGGCCACGGAAGCTCTGGATTCCATCTCCCTTGCGGGGAAAGCCGGTGACCAGCTAGGCTCCTCTTCCTTTGTCTCCAGTCAAGCCCCACCAGGCCTCCTGTCTTTCTCAGTAGCCTCAGCCTCTCGGCCAGGCCGCAGGAACAAACCTGCCAGTGCAGACCCTGGGGAAGGGGATGAGGGGAAGATTCTTCTTCCCGAGGGCTTCAATCCTGTGCAGGCCCTGGAAGGGCTAGAGAAACTTGGCAACTTTCTGACCAAAGGCCTTGGGAGCCAGCTGGAAGTGCCTGAGCAGCCCCAGATCCAGCCACCCGTGCAACTGCGGGAACTTCTCCATCGGGACATGCAGGCGCTGGGGGTCCTGTTGGCTGAGATGTTGTTTGCCACCAGGGTCCGAATGCTGCCGCCTGACGCCTCTTTGTGGGTACGCTTTGAGGCCATCCGGGGGCTCTGCCTACGTCACCCCAAGGAGGTCCCCGTGTCTTTGCAGCCCGTGCTGGACAAACTTCTGCAGCTGAGTGGACCTGAAGGCCCTGTGGTGGCAGGGAGGGGCAAACTAGCCCCACTCTTTGAGTACAGGCCAGTCTCCCAGGGATTGCCCCCTCCCTGCCCGGCCCAGCTCCTCAGCCCCTTCAGCTCTGTGGTTCCCTTCCCCCCGTACTTCCCAGCGCTACACAAGTTCATCCTCCTGTATCAGGCAAGACGCGTGGAGGACGAGGCCCAGGGGCGGGAACTGGTGTTCGCGCTGTGGCAGCAACTGGGGGCAGTGCTGAGTGACATCACCCCGGAGGGGCTGGAGATCCTGCTGCCCTTCGTGCTGTCACTCATGTCTGAGGAGCACACGGCCGTGTACGCAGCCTGGTACCTCTTTGAACCGGTCGCTAAGGCCCTAGGCCCCAGAAATGCTAATAAGTACCTCCTGAAACCTCTCATCGGTGCCTACGAGAGCCCCTGCAGGTTACACGGCCGCTTCTACTTGTACACTGACTGCTTTGTGGCCCAGCTGATGGTGCGGCTGGGCCTGCAGGCCTTTCTCATCCACCTGCTGCCCCACGTCTTACAGGTGCTGGCTGGTGTGGAGGCCTCTCAGGAGGAAAGCAAGGGCCTGGTGGGTGCCCCCGAGGATGAGGAGAGTGAGCTCCCGGGGGCCAGGCCCAGCTCCTGTGCTTTCAGGGAGGAGATGCCAATGGATGGTGAGGCTGCAGCCTCCTCGGGCCTGGGGCTCCCAGACTACACGTCTGGCGTCAGCTTCCACGACCAGGCCTATCTCCCTGAGACCGAGGACTTCCAGGCTGGGCTCTATGTGGCAGAGTCCCCACAGCCCCAGGAAGCCGAGGCTGTGAGCCTGGGTCGGCTGAGTGACAAGAGCAGCACCAGCGAGACCTCCCTGGGCGAGGAGCGGGCTGCCGAGGAAGGGGGTGCTCCCGTGGACAAGAGCAGCCTCAGGTCAGGCGACAGCAGCCAGGACTTGAAGCAGAGCGAGGGCTCAGAGGAGGAAGAGGAGGAGGACGAAGGCTGTGTGGTGGTGTTGGAGGAGGAGGAGGGGGACGGGGAACAAGACGAGATCACCAGGGCCTCTGAACTCACTCTCTCTGACACTGTGCTGTCCATGGATACGGTGGTGGCCCACGGTGGCGAGACAGATGGGGAGGAAGAAGAGGAGCCGCTGACTGAGCAGTCGGAGGGCAAAGAACAGAAGATCCTCCTCGGTGAGTTCTCAGGCCTTAAGGTGTTGGTCAAACAGTCCTCTGGTCATTTATTTATTGAATGAAGTAAGCTTTACACCCAGCATGGGACTTGAACGCATGACCCTGAGATCAAGAGTCCCATGTTCTTCTGACTGAGCCAGCCGGGTGCCCTGTGGGTGTTTTTTTGTTTTGTTTTGTTTATTTATTTTTTTAAATTTAAATTCCAGTATATTTAACCTGGAGTGTTTTCTTAGTTTTCAGGTGTACAATAGTGTTTCACCAAATCTATGCAAGTCTCTGGGCTCATCACAACACAAGTACTTCTTAATCCCCATCACCTATTTTCTCCACTCCATCTCCTCTTCCCCTCTGGAGTTTGTTCTCTAGAGTTAAGAGTCTTTTTTTTTTTTTTTTTTGGTTTCTCTCTCTTTTTCCTTTGCCCTTTTTTTTTTTTTTTTCAAGATTTAGTTATTTGAGAGAGAGCACCCTAAGCAGACTGCACCGACCACTGAGCCCAGCGCAGGGCTCAGTCTCACGACCCTGAGATCATGATCTGAGCCGAAACCAAGAGTCGGACCCTCACCGACTGCCCCACCCAGGCACCCCATGCTCTTGTTTGTTTCTTAAATTCCACCTGTGAGTGAAATCATAGGGGATTGGTCTCTCTCTGACTTTTTTTTGCTTAGCATTATACTCTCAGTCCAACATGTTGTTGGGCGTGGCAGGGTATGATTCTTTTTTAAGCCTGAATAATATTCCACTTATATATATACTACATCTTATTTTTTAATTTTAATTTTTTTAATTTTAATTTTTTGGTGAGGATCAGAGAGGGAGAGAGCACAGACAAGAGCAGCAGCAGACAGAGGGAGAAGAAGGCTCCATGCTGAGTGAGGGGCCCGATGCAGGAGTCAGTCCCAGGACCCCGGGATCATGACCTGAGCTGAAAGCAGACACTTAACTGACTGAGTCACCCAGGCACAACTATACTACATTTTCTTTATCCATTCATCTATCAGTGGACACTTGGGCTGCTTCCATAGTTTGTCTGTTGTAAATAATGCTGCAAAAACAGGGGTGCATGTATCCCTTTGATTGAGTGTTTTTGTATTTTGGGGGTGAACACCAGTAGTGCAGTTATTGGATCACTACCCTGTAGTACTATTTTTAACTTTTTAAAAAATATTTTATTTATTTTCTGAGAGAGAGAGAGAATGAGTTGGGGGGAGGGAAGGGGGAGAGGGGGAATTAGACTCCCCTCTCAGCAGGGAGCCCAATGCAAGGCTCGATCCCCATGATCCTGGGATCATGACCTGAGCTGAAGGCAGATGCTGAGCCAACTGAGCCACCCAGGCGCCCTGATATTAGAGTTTTAATTTGCATCTCCCTGATGATGAGTGATATTGAGCATCTTTTCATGTGTCTGTTGGCGATCTGGATATCTTTGGGAAAATGTTCATGTCTTCTGTCCATTTTTTAGTTGGATTATTTGTGCTTTGGGTGTTGACTTATAGCAGTTCTTTATATATTTTGGATACTAAGCCTTTATCAGATCTGTCGTTTGCAGATATGTTCTCCCATTCTTTAGGGTGCCCTTTAGTTTTATTGTTTCCTTAGCAGTGCTGAAGCTTTTTATTTTGATGTTGTCCCAGTAGTTAATTTTTGCTTTTATTTCCCTTGCCTCAGGAGACATTTCTAGAAAGATGTTGCTCCTGCTGATGTCAGAGAAATTAGTGCCTGTGCTCTTTTCTAGGATTTTTATGGTTTCAGGTCTCATATTTAGATCTTTAATCTATTTTGAGGTTTGTTTGTTTGTTTTTTTTTTTATTTTTTTCTCACCATATTGAGTTTATTTTTGTGTATGGTGTAAGAAAGTGGGCCAGTTTGATTCCTTTTTTTATTTTTATTTTTGTAGGCTCCATGCCAGGTGGAGCCCAGTATGGGGCTTGAACTCAAGACCCTGAGGTCAAGACCTGAGCTAAAATCAAGAGTAGGATGGTCAGCTGACTGAGCCATCCAGGCATCTCCAGTTTGAGTCTTTTACATGTAGCTGTCCAGTTTTTTGCCATATGTTGAAGAGATTGTCTTTTTCCCATTGTATAGTCTTTTCCTCCTTTGTTGAAGATCAGTTGACCATATAATTGTGGGTTTATTTCTGGTTTTTCTATTTTGTTCCATTGATCTGTGTGTCTGTTTTGTGCCAGTATCATACTGTTAAGATTGCTACAGCTTTGTAATGTAACTTGAAGTCTAGAATTGTGATGCCTCCAGCTTTGCTTTTCTTTTTCAAGATTGCTTTGGCTATTCGGGGTCCTTTATGGTTCCATAATAATTTTAGGCTTGTTTGTACTTGTTCTGCGAAAAATGCTGTTGGTATTTTGATAGAGATTGCATTAAATTTGTAGACTGCTTTGGGTAGTTTAGACATTTAACAATATCCGTTTTTTCCAATCCATGAACATAGGATGCTTATCCATTTCTTTGTGTTGTCTTCAATTTCTTTCATCAATGTTTTATATTTTTCAAAGTATAGGTCTTTTATCTCTTTGGTTAAATTTATTCCTAAGCATTGTATTTTTTTGGTGCAATTTTAAATGTGATTCTTAGTTTCATTTTCTGTTGCTTTATAATTAGTGTATAGAAGTGCAACCGATTTCTGTACTTTGATTTTGGATCCTGTAACTTTACTGGATTCATTTATCTGTTCCAGTAGTTTTTTGGTTTTGAGTCTTTATGGTTTTCTGTATATAGTGTCAGTTTACCTACAAATAGTGAAAGTTTTACTTCTTCTTTTACTTCTTCCTTACCAATTTGGATGACTTTTATTTCTTTTTGTTGTCTAATTGCTGTGGTTTGAATTTCCAGTGGTGAGACTGGACATCATTGTCTTATTCCTGACCTTAGAGGAAAAGCTCCTAGTTTTTCCCCATTGGGGATGATATTTGCTGTGGGTTTTTCACATAAGGCTTTTATTGTGTTGAGGTATATTCCCTCTAAACCTACTTTGTTGAGGGTTTTTATCATGAATGGGTGTTGTACTTTGTTAAATGCTTTTTCTGCATCTGTTAAAATGATCATATGTTTTTTTTCCCTTTTTAAAAGATTTTATTTATTTGTTTGATAGAAAGAGAGAGAGCACGCACACACAAGTAGGGGAAGCAGCAGGCAGAGGGAGAAGCAGGCCTCCTGCTAAGCAGGGAGCCCGATGCAGGGCTCTATCCCAGGACCCTGGAATCATGACCTGAGCCAAAGGCAGACACTTAACAACTGAGCCACCCAGGAACCCCTTACTCTGGTTTTCATTCAGCATTTCTAAGTACCTCGTCTACGCCAAGGAAGTGGATTGAACAGATTCACGTGTGGCACAGGTGTGGGCCTTCCTTCCTGGAGCTCACTCCTAGCAGAGGAGGGTCCCTTAGGTAAAGTAATGCTGTAAAGAACAGGGCTAGGTACTACAAGGAACTATAAGTAGGGCTTAGATCTAGTTTTCAGGGGTCAGAGAGGCTTCCATGAAAGCAGAGTCAGGGATGCCTGGGTGGCTCAGTCAGTTAAGCATCTGCCTTTGGCTTAGGTCATGATCCCAGGGTCCTGGGATTGAGCCCCACATTGGGCTCCCTGCTCAGCAGGCAGCCTGCTTCTTCCTTTCCCTCTGCCCCTCCACCTCCACTTGTGCTCTCTCTCTAATAAATAAATAAAATCTTTAGGAGGAAAAAAAGAGGTAGAGACAGTTGAGGTCCAGTGAATAGGAGGTAGCAAGGCAAAAATGGTAGGGTCTGTGGTGGGAAGAGCATACCAGGCAGAGGGATCAGCATGTGTGAGGTTCTGTAACTCCATTAAAGAAGCAGTGAAAAGGGATGCCTGGGTGGCTCAGTCCATTAAGCCGCTGCCTTTGGCTCGGGTCATGATCCCAGGGTCCTGGGATGGAGTCCCTCATCAGGGTCCTTGCTCAGCAGGGAGCCTGCTTCTCTCTCTGCCTCTGCCTGCCACTCTGCCTGCTTGTGAGCTAGCTCCCCCCGCCCCCCGGCAAATAAATAAATAAAATCTTAAAAAAAAAAATAAGGAGAAGCAGTGAAAGGCTGGCCTGGTTAGACAGGGAGACTGGAGGGAAGAAGAGGGAGCACAGGCCATAGTGGGAGGGAGCTAGGGCCTGGCCAGGCCTCATTTAGCAGCTTAAGAAGATTCACTGAAAGGATGACCTTCCTGCAAGTTGTACCCGAGGGGAGGATTCTGGAGCAGCCTGGAAGCCAGGGTCACCTGGAGCAGTCCTAAAGCCACAGGTCCCCTCTGGCACTGTGAAATAGCTAGTGGTGGTGTGGGGTGCAGGCTGTTTGGCAGGTTTGCACCCAGGATTGGCTAGGAGGGGTGCCGTGGGCTGGGGTGAGAGGAGTGGCAAGCCACCGTTATCTGATGAGCTCAGGGCCTGCTCCTGCCTCGCAGATACGGCCTGCAAGATGGTCCGCTGGCTGTCTGCCAGGCTTGGCCCCACTGTGGCCTCTCGCTATGTGGCCCGGAACCTGCTCCGCTTGCTGACATCTTGCTACGTTGGTAAGGCCTGCGGTCAGTGCCGGAGAGGGGGCTCCATCTCAGACCCTCTGTCCATCCTCAGCCCCCTGTAGGGCATCCTTCCCCCTTCCACGTCCCTGCCAGGTCCCGGGTCCCAGTCTGTAAGCCACTTCCTTGCTCGGGCAGGGCATGGTGTGGGCCCCAGGCTAGAGGGAATGGGAGCGGCTACCCTAGTTCCTGGAAGACTGACCTCCCCGCTGCCCGCCCTGAGCCACTCGAGGCCGCTGGCTCTTCCTCGGCAGGGCCCGCTCGGCAGCAGTTCACCGTGAGCGGCGGGGGGAGCCCCCCGCTGAGCGCGGGCAACGTCTACCAGAAGAGGCCGGTCTTGGGCGATACAGTGTCTGGGCCTGTGCTCAGCTGCCTCCTGCACATCGCTCATCTGTACGGGGAGCCTGTCCTCACCTACCAGTACCTGCCTTACATCAGCTACCTGGTCAGTCACTGCTGGGGCAGCCTCAGGGGAGGCTGAGGAGCTTGAGGGCAGACCTGAGCAATCTGGGGGTCCCAGGGGTCCATGGGCGGCCTGGCCCTCATCCACTCTGTGGCCCTAGGTGGCCCCAGGTAGCACCTCGGGCCCCAGTCGACTGAACAGCCGTAAGGAGGCAGGGCTGCTGGCGGCGGTGACCCTGACCCAGAAGATCATCGTGTACCTCTCGGACACCACCCTCATGGACATCCTGCCCCGAATCAGCCACGAGGTCTTACTACCTGTGCTCAGCTTCCTCACTTCCCTCGTCACTGGGTAGGCTGCTGCACCACCCCTGTGCAGGGAGTAGCCCAGCTGGGGATGCTGCCTGGGAGGGGCTGGGAAGCTTGGGAGTGAGACTGGGTGTCAGGAGTCCTGGTTCTGATCCAGCGGTGCGACCCTGGGCAAGCCGCAACTCCTCTCTGTGCCTCAGTTTCCTTATCTCATTTGGGCCAATCAGTCTTGGAGCTCTGTTCATTGAAAGCTTTTTGGTAGATTCTGGGCAAGTCCTGCAGAGTGGGGGTTGGTGTAAGGGGGGCACTGGAGCTCGTGTGCTTTCTTTCCAGGTTCCCGAGTGGGGCCCAGGCCCGGACTGTCCTGTGTGTGAAAACCATCAGCCTCATCGCCCTCATATGCCTGCGCATTGGGCAGGAGATGGTCCAGCAGCACCTGAGTGAGCCTGTGGCCACCTTTTTTCAAGTCTTCTCTCAGCTGCGAGAGCTTCAGCACCAGGTAGGCAGACCTGCTTCCCTTACCTGGCTGGACTGGGTGGGGCAGGCACCGTGAACTTAGCTGACTTGCCCTGGGCTGTCCTGCCCCCAGGATCTGAAGCTGGATGCTGTGGGCCGCAGCGAGGGCCAGCTGCCGGAGGTGGCCTTCTCCGACGGGCAGCAGCGGCTAGTGGACCCCAGCCTGCTGGAAGAGCTGCAGAAGGTGTTCACCTTGGAGATGGCGTACACAATCTACGTGCCCTTCTCCTGCCTGTTGGGTACTGCCCCATCACATTCCCTTGCAAAGCCTTTGTGGCTCTGTCTCTTCCCCTGGGAGGGCTCCGGTGCTCCCCATGCCCCCCTAGACCCTGTAGCTGGTCTTCAGCACAGTGTTGTGCATCAGACCTCACCGTCCCAGGTGACACGTAAACAGAGAGTGAGCATTAGCCAGCAGGGAGGCATGGGAGCTGGTCTAGAGTATCCCTGGGGAAGGCAGGGGCCTTGGGCCGATGTACAGACATCTCTAGGAGTTTCTGGGAGGAATAAGTAAGGTGTCCACCTTCTGTGTAGTCTCAGACTACACCTTGCAGGCCTGGCACTGCTGCGTGGTTATGTATGTTGTCCCCCTGAATGGGAAAAACGGCCCTGTGGTCAGATACGTTATTGTTCCTCCACTGAAATCTGGGTCCTGAGAAGGGGAGCACTGGCCTTCTTTCTCACCGTTCTGTTTCCCATGTGTCACATGGTGCCCAGCACATACAGAGGATGTGCATGTGAGTGAATCCACGTCTTCCTAGGGAAGAAACAGGCTCAGGGATGAAGAGTTAACTTGCCTAGAGTTTCACAGCCAGCACCTGCCCTGTCTCCTGTTCCCAAGCTTTGGCGGGGTGGTGGCAGCTGCCTGCCGTCTTCCCTGATCTTAGGATTACTCCCACCCTCCCATCTAGGTGACATCATCAGGAAGATCGTCCCCAACCATGAGCTGGTTGGGGAACTGGCGGGGCTGTATCTGGAGAGCATCAGCCCAAGCAGTCGCAGCCCGGCCAGCGTGGAACCCACCATGCCCAACACGGGCCCCGAGTGGGACCCCCAGAGTGGGGGTGGCCCACGGGATGACAGCCACTCAGGGACCTTTGGGAGCGTTCTGGTCGGGAACCGCATCCAGATTCCTGACGACCCACAGCCTGAGAGCCCCGGCTTGCTGGGCCCCGTCCCGGGGGCGGGCAGTGGGGGCGTCAGCAGCGAGGAGGACAACGCGCTGAAGCGGGAGCTGCCCCGGAGCGCCCACGGGCTGAGCGGGAACTGGCTCGCCTACTGGCAGTACGAGATTGGCGTGAGCCAACAGGACGCCCACTTTCACTTCCACCAGATCCGCCTGCAGAGCTTCCCGGGCCACTCTGGGGCCGTCAAGTGTGTGGCACCCCTGAGCAGTGAGGACTTCTTCCTGAGTGGCAGTAAGGACCGCACGGTGCGCCTCTGGCCGCTCTACAACTCAGGGGATGGCACCAGTGAGATGGCTCCGCGCCTCATCTACACCCAGCACCGCAAGAGCGTCTTCTTCGTGGGCCAGCTCGAGGCCCCGCAGTACGTGGTGAGCTGCGACGGGGCCGTGCACGTCTGGGACCCCTTCACAGGTGAGCAGGTCCAGGTGAGGCCTGTTCTCTTGCTGCCATCCTGGGCGCTGCCAGGCCTCTGGGTTTGAGGACCCAGGGTTGGGCGGTTGGGGTGTAATGGTATAGGGGGTGGGGTGACCCAGTGAGGCCGCCCAGAGGAGCAGTTGGACTTGAGTTTGAATTGGTTCTGCCAACTTTATTTGTTGGGTGACCTTGTGCAAGTCACCTTGTTGATCTGTAAAATGGGAATCAGAACGGGGTTAGAAGATGATGCACATAGGAGTTTGGCCTAACATGTAGCATGTCATAAAAGTTTGGCAGATGGTTGCTTGATTGTATTTTGGCATCATGGGGGAGGAGAAGTAAGGTTAATAAGGTTTTTAAAGGGGGAGGGGATTGGGTAGTGTTGAGGTAGACTGAGTAGAAGTAGTGTTTGATCAGGGGGTGCCGTGGAAAAAGAAGAGGTTGCTCCGGGGACCGGAGCCTGGCCTGGCCTGGCCACAGAAGCAGGAAGGTGGGAGAGTCAAAAAGCATCTTCAGCATTTTCTGAGGTCCTCTGGAATATGAGAAGCAGATCCAGGGTAGGTCAGGGAGATAGGAAGAGTTGAAGTGCTTCTATCAGCTCCTGGTACCCCAGATCCAGGGTGCCTTTCCTTCCCAGGGAAGACCCTCCGCATGATGGAGCCATGGGACAGCCGCGTGCCCCTGACTGCTGTGGCCGTCATGCCTGCCCCCCATACCAGCATCACCATGGCCAGCTCTGACTCCACCCTGCGCTTCGTGGACTGCAGGAAACCTGGCCTGCAGGTCAGGGCCGTCCAGTTCCCTGAGCCCGGGCCTGGACGCCCGGCAGGGAGGAGAGACCCCAAAGAGAGAAGGCCAGAGTGTCGTTTAGACCAATGACCCACAGCAGCAAACCCTGAGTGGGGGGTGGGACTGACCTGAGATGGAGGGGGGCCCTCTGCTTGATAGAGGGGGCGGGGATAAAGGATCAGGCCTTTCAACTGTGTGGGCTTGGGAGGGAGCGGGACCTCAGGGAGAAATGGGTTGGGGTGGCACGTTAGCTCATCTCCCTCTGTCTGCAGCACGAGTTCCGCCTCGGCGGTGGGCTGAACCCCGGCCTCGTCCGCTCCTTGGCCGTCAGCCCCAGTGGCCGTAGCGTGGTGGCTGGCTTCTCCTCGGGCTTCATGGTGCTCCTGGACACCCGTACTGGCCTGGTTCTGCGTGGCTGGCCGGCCCATGAAGGGGACATCCTGCAGATCAAGGTGACTGACCAGGTCTCTTTCCCCTCCTCACTGCCCAGCCCTGCCCCTGCTCCAGGTCCTCTTAGGGCCCACTCAGGACAGGCTCCAGCTAAGGTAATCTCCCTTTTACCTGCTCCAGGGCGGATGGGCACAGAGGGTTAGGAGCCAGAGGCAGGCCATGGGGGCGGGAAGCAGGGGGTGAGCTGACCCTGCTGCTCCCTGGGGATGTTCTAATGAGTAACCCTTGTCCATATTTGCCTTGCTTGGAGGATCAGGGGTCAGGCCCTGTCCGTGACCCAGTTCAGGTTAAATAAAGCTCAGCTGGGAAGCTGTTTACTGCCCCCAGACCACGGAACAGAGTCCATGTCCCATGCTGGGCTGCCCTCATGGGGGCAGGGACGTCCCCGCCTGGGGATCCTACCCGTACCCCCGCCCATTCTCAGGCACAGACTTCAGGGAACTGCCCGGGGAGGGACAGCAGGGGAGGAACAGGGCTCTTTGTGGGAGGATATTTCCAGGCAGCTGGCACTTCCTCCCTGTGCTGACTGCAGCCAGGGGACCTGCATTGCCACTGCTAAGGACACACTGGCTCCAGCTGTGTCCAGGACCCCAGGGGACCCAGGGGTCCAGGTAGCTTTCAGTTTGGACCTTCCAGGGATGCATTCAGAGGGCTTTGGGGTCAGCCTTGGTGTTAATCCTGGCAGTGCTACTTACTGGCTCTCTGACCTTGGGAGGATTACTTAACTTCTCTGAGCCTCGGGTTCTTTCTCTGTAAAATGGGAATAACAAGAACATTTACATCATTGAGTTGTCCTGAAAATTAAATTTGGTAATATGGCATGCTGCACACAATGCCTAGAGTGAGCGCCCAAGTTACAGTGGTGACTAGGTTCAAGACACCTGAGCACAGTGACATCAACCAGCCCTTATAAGATGTGGTGGAGGAGGCAGCTGGTCTCCTGCCCAGGACCCCTCTGTCTTCCTGGCAGATCCCCTGCGAGTAAACAGAAGGCCCTGGAGCTCGTTGGGCACATGGGAGGGCCCGGGTCCGGCTGGCTCAGGCTCTCTTCTCCCCAAGCAGGCGGTGGAGGGCAGTGTCCTGGTCAGCTCCTCCTCTGACCACTCCTTGACCGTGTGGAAGGAGCTGGAACAGAAGCCCACGCACCACTACAAGTCTGCCTCTGACCCCATCCACACCTTCGACCTGTATGGCAGCGAGGTGGTCACCGGCACAGTGGCCAACAAGATCGGCGTCTGCTCCCTACTCGAGCCCCCCTCCCAGGCCACCACCAAGCTCAGCTCTGAGAACTTCCGAGGCACGCTCACCAGCCTGGCCTTGCTGCCCACCAAACGCCACCTTTTGCTAGGCTCGGACAATGGGGTCATCCGCCTCCTGGCGTAGGCTGAGGCAGGGCCGGCCCATGAGGGTGGGCAGACATCCCCCCCCAGGAGTCCCTCCCTCACCCGTGTTTTCCCAGCAGCTCCCTCTGCACAAGCATCAGGCCCCACACTCCGAGTGGCCATGTGGCCTGCAAGCTAGGAGGAGGCAGGAGTCCAGGGTCCCAAACTGCCAGAGCCACCAGTGCTGCCAGAAAGGATCTCCTTCATGGCTTGGGGGAGCTGCTGCTTCTAGTTAGCAGGAAGCAAGAGAGAGAGAGAGAGCATGGGAAAGCATTGCCCTCCCTTCTCCCTGGCTCTGCCCTCTGGGTCTACATGGGGACAGGGAAGCTCTGAGAAGAGGAACGGAGATGGGCCCCGGCCCAGCCAGTCTCCAGCCGAAGATGCCCCCGCACCTTGCTGAGCATTCTGTACCCCAGTCTCACAAGGACAGGACAGCTGCTCCAGTCCAGGACACTGATGGTGCTTGGACTCCAGCCTCTAATGAGGGCTGGCCGTGGTCCAGGAGTTAAGGGCCTTGGGCTGGGGTTTAAGTGTCCACCCAGCTGGGCCCTGCCCAGTGTGGGACCAGTAGGGGAAGAAAGAGGGCAGGACCAGGGGAGGGAAGAGGGACTGGGCCAGCCGGTGCCTGGCCAGGAGTGACCGCCTGCCTTGCCTGCCCACCCCTCACCACAGTGTTTGTGCCTTGAAACTGAGGAGGCAGCCCCTGGGCCCAGAACCCTCATGGTCCGACACCCTGAGAGAAGGGGCAAGAATGATCTCTGCATCTCAGGTCTCTCCCAGGGGACGGGAAGACCCAGGCATCCTGGGACCCTCATATTCGGGAGCAGAGATGAGGTCTGAGCCTGCGCCCCTACTGCCTCCTCATTATTTGCAATAGATGTAAATATGACCAATAAATCCTTTGGAAGAGCCATGGAACTGAGGGACACTTCTTGATGGTGGTATCAAGGTGGGGAAGAATTAAGAGTGGGCAGCTTCTGGGGCCATGAGGAGAGGGAGAGAAGCTGGGCAGGAAGGTGGGAGACAGCCTGATCATTGCCCTTGGGTGCCCCAGGGGACAGGCCTTCTGGTGCATGCAGCCCCAGGCCAGTTTCTTGAACCCTCAGCCTTGGGGGAGGGTAAGGAGGCAGCGCACCTGCTGGGAGGATGCTGGCTGGGGCTGGGGCTCTCTCTCCTCTCCCCACCCCTTCCAGATCTAGTCTAAAGGCAGCCAATCAGGATCCTGGGCTTGTAAGGCTTGGGGATGGGCATTCTATCTTGGGTTCTCCACATAGGCTCCTGCGGCCTCCCTTTCCTTCCCCTCAGGAGGGGGGAGAGGAAAGGACATTGGAAGTGGGAAGCTGGATGTGACCCTGAGCCCAGCTCTGTCCTTGGGCATGTCACATAGCCTCTCTGACCAACTAGAGTGGGGTTGCTGGGAGGGCCCTGTCCTTCCTGGATCTGCTCTACAGATGAGAACATTCTCCTCAACTTTCCTGAACCTCCTTTCTCCAGGCTTGGGGGGAAAGAAGGGGGACCCAAATCCACAGGGCCTCCAGGTGGCTGTCTCAGGATTAGATGCCTTGGTGGGAATGGGGCTTCCGGCCCCAATATCAATGTTTAACCGGATGTGCAGGTCAATATTTACCAGAAGAGAAAGCAATCTGAACAGGGGTTGGCTGAGAGCAAAGGTCCTGGTGGGAGGGGAGGGCTCAGCTAGGCTGGCTGGAGCCTGAGCAAAGTGTGGGGAGTACCCAAGTGGGGCCAGAGAGAAGGACATCGTGTGCAGCAGCAAGGAGCCCGCAGAGGTACAAGGGGAGGGGTGGCTTAGCCTGCTCTTTGGGCAGGAGAGGAGGTAAGAGCTGCTGTCCTAGCTGAGGGGGCCTGGAGTGAATTGATTCAGAAGGCCTCTCATTTCCCAGCCTCCTGGGGGGGATGAGGAGCCAAGGTGGGAGTTCTGGCAGGACTCCCCCTGGGACTTGAAAAACTGGAGGGCTTTTCTTGACAAAAAAATTCAAAAGCCCAGGTTGGAGGTCAGGGGCCCTGTGATGGAGGTGGGGCCAGGGGTGATAGAAGGATCCCTTGGAAGGACTGGCCCTGAGATGGGGGCGGGGTTGGAGTGTGTGGGACCTGCTCTGAGGCCAGACCAAGAACTGCCCATCTCCACCTGCCAGCCTGGCTTCCCGGAGCCGACCTGGACAGAGTTGGGGGCCAAGGCCTGTGTTTTCCGTAAGTCCAAAGGTGGCTTTGTCCAGAGCCATTCATTGGACTCTCTGGCTGGGTCAACAATGCGGCTCTCCAGCCTACCCCACCAACCCTGCTGAGACTTCAGGGACTCAGGCCTGTCCACCCTTGTGGTCAAGACCAGACCAGCGAGAAAAGGTGGGCCCTGTGGACAGCAGGTTGGATAGGAGCCCCAGTATAGAGGAGGCTTCGAGGGAGGCTTCCCAGAGGAGGGGCCTTGGGCTAGGCGGACAACAGCCCTCTTACTGAGTGCCAGGCATTGTAATCAAGGCTCACAAAGACTGTCTTATTCTGGTCCTCACAACATACCATGGGAGGAGGTAGGGACTTTTGCTACCATTTTACAAGAAAAGGCAGAGTCCAGAGGAGTTAAGGGAAATATCTAATGTCCTCCAGGAAGAGGCAGAGTCTGGATTCCAATCCAGGTGGGACTCAAAAGGCCAGGCCTTGAAGCATGAGGATTTCTTTTGTTTTGATATTTCCCCTATGAACCAAACCATTTTCAGTGCCCCAAATGTGAAAAACTGGAAAATACAGAGGGGTTAAAAGCAATTCAGGGGGCCATCCCATGCCACAGAGATGGGAACCACCACTGGTGTTTGGGGGTGTGCTGGCAGTAGCTGGGTGTCCCCTCAGCGGTAGAGGCTCAGGATCTGCCAAGCCAGGCAGCGTGGGGAGTGCGATCCCACGTGGAAGTGCCACCAGGTGGGAACAGTGGCTTCCTGTCCCGCACAGGAACATGGCGCTGCTCTGGGGGCTCCTGGTGCTCAGCTTGTCCTGCCTGCAGGGTTCCAGCTTGGTGGTGAGCCTGGGCCTGGGTCTGGGTGGGGCCGGGAGGCAGGTGGGGACGCGCCAGGGGTCCAGGCAGGAAAAGGAGGGGGCTGAGTCAGGGGAAGGTTTGGCTCTAAGGGGGTTTCCTCTACTCTCTTCATCCTTTTCTCAACAGTTCTCTCCTGCCAGCGCCATGGAGCCCTTGGACCAGCAGGTACTGGGGAGGGAGAGGCATGAGGGGGAGGAAGGCCCCGAGGGGCCTTGCCTGTGGCTCCCGCAAGGGTGGGGGAATCTGTGGGAAGGGTCACACTCCATTTGCTTCCTCCCTTCTTCAGCTAATGAGCGGGCAGACCCAGGAAAAGCTGCCCCCGCTTACCCTCCTCAAGTTGGGCAACCAGGTACAACCAGGTGGGGCTGGGGGAAGGGTGGGCGGGGTCCGAGGGAGGAGGGCCAATCAGCAGGGGCGAGGGAGCCGGGGGGCGGGGCCATGAGGCGGAGGCCAGAAGACCGAGGGTGGGAGGGACCAGAGCGAAGGACCCGGTCCCTATCAGGCCTTTGTCTCTGTGACCGTCTCTCGTCCCTCTCTCGTCAGGACTGAGATAAGGCCCTGCTGTTCTCAGGCACAGGGACTCCGAAAGGGATCCTCAACACAGAGCTGACTCCTTAACCCTCTTGACCCCTGATCTGTCCCTGTAGGAGGCCCATGGCCATACTGCCCTGAAGAAGTCCCCAAGGGACTGCAAGGGGGCCCCAACTCCGGAGCAGACCCGCAGGTTGGCCCAGGCCATGATGGCCTTCACCACAGACCTGTTCTCCCTGGTCGCCCAAAGGTCCACCAGCCCCAACCTCATCCTGTCGCCTCTCAGTGTGGCCCTGGCCCTGTCTCATCTGGCACTAGGTACCGTGGCATCCGTTTGTCTAGACCAGCAGAGCTGGGAGACCAGTAGGAACTCACTACTCCACAGTTTACTAGTGGGTGCTTCCTTCACTGGGGGCACTTGGCTGTTTGGTAAAAAGGCAGATTCCCGGGCACACCTCCAGATTCCTTGAGTCAGATCCCCGGGTATGGGACCTAAGGATAAGCTTCTGATGATTTTTATGTAGCTGCACTGTCTTCGCCGGACCAGAGGCTCTCACTGTGGGAAACCGAGGTCCAGGGAGGGAAAACAACTTGGACGGGGTGAGGTCATCCAAGATAGCCAGCAGCAGAGATGAAGGTGGAACTTGGGGGGGGGGGTTCAGTGGATGCGAGAGGCAAATAGCCGTGCACCAAGGGCATTCAACAGGGACTGGAGTGCACGGCAGGGCCGGGAAAGAGCCGGAGGCCTGGGCCACAGCCAATGCGGTCCCCTCCAGGTGCTCAGAACCAGACACTGCGAAGGTTAGAGCAGGTGCTGCATGTGGACTCAGGGCTCTGCCTCCCTCACCTACTGAGCCACCTTTGCCAGGACCTGGGCCCTGGGGCATTCCGATTGGCTGCCAGAATGTACCTGCAGAAAGGTAGGTGTTGGTGCTTGGAGCTCCCTAGGTAGTGCTCTTGGGTGGACAGGGGTGATGGGGATGGGGTTGGCCTCAGGTCGGCAGTCTGAGGATTGGTGGCTCTGGAGCTCAAGCCCCTGGGAACAGCTTGTGGCCCTTTCTGCATAGGATTTCCCATCAAAGAGGATTTTCTGGAACAATCAGAACAGCTCTTTGGTGCAAAGCCCGTGAGCCTGACGGGTAGGAAGGGGGATGATCTGCTGAACATCAACCAATGGGTGAAGGAGGCTACAGAAGGGAAGATTGAGGATTTCCTCTCTGAGCTGCCAGATGACACAGTGTTGCTTCTGCTCAATGCCATCCACTTCCAGAGTGCGTTCCTCTTCTCCCCAGGTTCCCCACCTGCCCCATAGGCTGCCCCTATTCCTGCCCCATAGGCTGAGCTGGGCTGTGAAGAAACCTTTGTTCTGAGAGTCTCTCTTTCTCCTCAGGGATGGGCCACGAGGCAGGGAGCTCTTCAGTTTGTGGCTTGGGGAAGGGTAGGAAATGGGTAACAGTGTGCCAAGGAGGGGCCCCAGGAATTGGATGAGGCTGTTGTAAAGAGAGAACCCTAGGAGGAAACTGAGTTGGTGAGGATATGGGGGGTGCTCCTGGGAGCATGGCGGGGCACAGGAAAAAAGCAAGCCCAGATTTCAAAAATGCTGCAGGGAAGAAACCTCAAATCAACTGAGTGTCACCTGGCACAGTGCCCCTTGGGGTTTCGACCTCTACCTTTTGTCCCTTGAATGGGTTCTGGGTGGGACAGAGAAGAGACAGGTGGTAGAGAACCTCCCCCTTCCCTGGGTCTACATGGCCCCTGCCTTCTGCTGGCTCTAGGTTTCTGGAGGAGCAAGTTTGATCCAAGTCTCACCCAGAGAGACAGTTTCCACCTGAACGAGCAGTTCACGGTGCCCGTGGACATGATGCACGCCCACACGTACCCCCTGCGTTGGTTCCTGCTGGAGCAGCCCGAGATACAGGTCAGCCCTGATTGTCCAGGCTGGGAGGTGGTGTAGGGAGGGGGTGGGCTGTGGGCAGGCACAGGGGTGAAGGGGGGTGTGCCCTGCCTTCCTTGCAGTCATGTTCCTGATACAGGTGGCTCTAGAAGGTCTCGCTATACCCCGACCTGTGGGACTGAGCTTCCAGGCTGTTGGAAGTTCATGAAGCTCACAAAAAGATATTGGGCATTTGCTGTCTGCCAGATACTGTCCTAGACATGGGAACTCACTAGCACGTGGGAGACCAGGTCCCTGCTGTCAGCAGGAAAGGAAAGTACACAAACGAACCTAAATCACAGGATCATTTCAGATAGGGTATGTGCTATGGGGGAAAAAAGAAAGTGATCAATTAGTAACTAGGGAAGGTATTTTAGATCCAGCGGTCAGGGAGTGTTCTTTGAGGAGGCG